ACGACGTGATGAACTTTTTCAACACCTCGTGACCGTTTTGAAACTTTCAACGGTGTTCGCAATGTTTGACAGAGATTGTCAGGGAATATTGCTTTAAATAATATTTTAATCATGCGAATTGTAATTTTAAAGTTCTGAAAAGTACTACAAACGCCCAAGCATGTTTTAGCACTGCAAATTAAGGTAAAGAAGAAGTATTTACTACAAATCTTACACCTCATGTGCATGCTTGTCTATATTAAACGGTACTGAATATTTTATTCGAAGTGGCTATATCTGTACGGGCCCGTAAACAGACTTCGCCAGGCTATATATTTACGGCACTCTCGTTCTTAGTCTCCACACGGCCTGTATTTATCGTTAAAGTCAAATTAAAACAAAAATAACCCTAACCCCAACCTCTAACCCCTAAAAAATAAAATTAATCAGAAAAAAAGTTAAACATGTTTAGCTGAGACCAACAAAAAACCGTCACAACTCGGGTTCGAACCGCGGACTATAACACAGCAGCCATTTGCATAACCTCCTGAGCTATTTTCGAGCTCGCTGAAATCCTTCGTAAACAATACATTTTATAGTCATAGTTACAGTGCTGGTTTAGTGTGCCGTAAATATAGCCTGGCGAAGTCTGTTTACGGACCCGTAGATATAGCCACTTTGTATTTTATTGTAGTCTACAAATAGCCAAACAACTTGACTATTCGCGTATTTTGTGTCAGTTTATGAATGTTGTCGACTCTATCTTCACTTCTTGAAATATAGTCAAAAGTATTACAAAGAACTTCTAAAAGTATCACTATTAAACAGCTCTAAAAATCATTTTCTCAATCATTAAAGCACCAATTCCACTAGAACATTGCAAATTGTTTGAATACCGTTAAAAGTTTCGAAGCGGTCACGAGGTGTTCAAAAAGTTCATCACGTGGTACATAAAATCAATCCCGCGTGTGCAAATCTCGAAGAATTACTTTACCACTTTAGTGGTTTCGATAGTATTCGTGTTCTGCCCTACTGATTTCTTTTGGAAGCGACTGTTTTTACGGTATGTGAACATTAATATATAAATATG